GGGTGACACCGATCCACCAGGTTCACCGATACGTTTGATGAAGGCTATCGGTGTATTATATACAAGTGTTTTCACCACTGGCCGCGTCCGCGCTACCAGGCCCGGATGACATTGCTTATGCAACATCACAATGCGCCGCAATTATTGACAGTATATCGGCGGCAGGGTATTCCCGTGGATGTTAAGTTGTTCCACGTCTAGCCATCCGCATCGACATATTTTGGATGACCGTACAGCTGCGACGTGGATCTCCGTTCACGAGCCTCCGTAAACTTTAAGTCGTGTTACAGCAACGAAACACAAACACACGCCATTGTCACTCTTCTCTGGTATTTTTAACTGTGAACTAAATATCATAAATTCGCCCCCTGTTTTGACGTGTGTAAATCCCCACTGAAAATTGTCCCTCCTCATCAGCTGGTTTCTTCACCGTTTGCTACTCTATTTCAACTTATGATTATTATTGTTAAAGACCGGTCCTGAATATTCAAGGTCTTGCGTTCCTCCATTTTGACTCCTTTGATGTTCACTTATTTATCCTCACTGAACTCCGTGATTTTAATAGTTGCCAGTTCCTTTTTTGTCGATCACCTCCAATTTGCTGCTTGTGAAGGCGACACACTTGATTCAGCCAATCTTATGTATTTTAGTCTCTCCGCACTTTGTGACTGAAGTTACTTAATGTCCATTCCATTACTGCAGCCAGTCAATGAATTGGCACCTATCGCGTAAGACGGGCGCAATGCTGCGCATCGTTGATCGTGGTACCTCGAGCGTTTCCAATATCCTCAATTACCTCCTCTTCAATATTATCCCAACCATAGTTGACATAATTGTCGGCATCATCTACTTCATCACAGCCTTCAATTTCTGGTACGGACTCATCGTCTTCATCACCATGTTGGCCTATCTGGGTGAGTAGTTCATATTCTTTCCTTCCCCCTTACACCGGTCGTTCATGTGAATCTGATAGCTTATACTTCCTTATGAATTGAATTTAATTGATTCAGGCGACATAAAATCTACGCCGTACCCATATAGGCACTCAAAACCAGAACCTTGCATCCGTTCCTATTGCTTTTTACTTTTTTCGTTAAGTAATGTGGTTTGGGAGTTTTTCCTCGTTAGTAACTCGTTCAGCTTGTAGCCATTCGGTCCTGTAACGCCGTCCATCATCCCCTAAAACACCTTATTACTCCGGAATGCTATGAAAGGACTGTTAAAACGACGAGTTCCACGTCGCTAGTGTTATAATAATGACATCTGACGTGTGTCACCGTCGAATAACGCCCTGTTGAAATCCCCAAGGAAGCACACAAAAAAGGGCATAATTCTGGAATCCACCCGGAGGAGCCGTCTCGGGTGGCTGTTGCCGCTGGTTGATCTCCAGCGCGCTCTTTGTCCCGC